GGGAAACTTTTTAAAAAATTTTAACTAAATTATGATTAATTAATGTGAAGAAAAAAGAAAGTTAATTTATACTTCCATTTAAACATACTTCGTTTAGGGATTCTTCGCTTAAATGTCTTCTGTTTTATAGTGTTTTAATGATTCAAATGCTAAAATAAGATTCATTTATATGACAAATAACACCGATCAGAAAAAAAATACGAACAGTCAAGTAACATCACATCATCATGTATAGTTCATTACAAACACCCAAAATACACTAAAATTATTATACTTTTGTTATACAGTATACTTTATTAAAAAATTTACGGAACTAGATGAGAATCAAAAAAAAAATTAAAACTTCAAGAAAAAACCAGTATTATTTTAAACCACTAATGTTATTCTGTTATTATTCATTAAAATACTAAATTATAGAACATCTTATTTATATCCTCATATATTACCATCCTGACACGTATCATCTTAACCATCTTACTAATAACCTCAAACGTCTTTTGCGATTCGATAATTCAACCATGAGATGGCATACTTTATTCAGGTCCGTTAATACTCCAATAGTTTTAATATTATTATCCGCTAAAATTGGCTGCAACCATTTTTGAAATTTATTTTCTCAATGATGTTTTCTTTCATATGCCCGATGGTTATTTTCTTGTTAATATCAATGTCAAATGGGAAGACGGAAGATACACAATCTCCGTTTACAAGACACCAAAGTGTCTTAACATTAACTTTATTGTAATACTGTTCATTACTTCGAATTAGAGAAGTGGCTTTAGTTTCAGTTTTGGTATGGTCTTGTTTCTTTAGAACATTCCCGTTTCTTGGAGATTTTTGTCGCCTCATCATCCTCATTTTCTTTATTTGAGTTCCTCCCAAAATGTTTTTAATATTGCACTACGTTTCCGACAACTTAGCAGTGCATAATTTACTTAGTAATAAAGGAAGGTACGTATTTAATTCCTCATTCAGAGCTGCCACAGAGTGCCCTGTGTTTGAATACGCATATCAATAAATTGGTCATGGTAATAACAACGTCATCTTATTAGGGCCTCTGTGGCGTTCATTGGCCATGAACGAAGATTATTATTGTCTCTGTAGTTTGTTAAAAGACCTTTATTTATTAAAAACAAAGTCTAGGGCGCCTGGGTTAAGGACTTGGCGTGGGTATATAATCTTTCTTGTTCAAATAATGTTATGGTTGTGGTGTAGGATCCATTGTACGATAAATTTTTTTGATTTCTCAAGTACAAAATAAGCTCTAGAAAGATAAATGAATTAGTAACTAAAGAAAATTTTACAAACAGAGAAAGAACGCAAAATGAAAGAAACGAAAAAACCTACCATCCTGGCCAAAGTACTTAGACATCATGATAGATGTGTCTAACTGTCATTTGGTTATGAAAAAAATTATTACTCAATTGTTGTTTGCTTAGGTACTACTCAAAAGAGTTAGACAGAGAGCTTTATATATATAAAAATAGCGTGCGAAATAGCAGTCAATTTTGAAAGTCCGTTGTAGAAGAACTGACGCACGAGAATTTTTTTTGAGTAAATCATATTTTACCAACTACTTTAGTAGAAACAGCGTACGAAAAAGTAGTCATTTTTGAAAGTCCGTTGTAGAAGGAGAATAGACACATGGGAATTTTTTTTTTCTTTTTTTAAAAAAGAAAAGACTAATGCATAAATCAATCAATCAGGGCTACACTAAAATTTTTTGCATAAATTAATTATATACTTCACAAGTACGACAATTCAACAATAGACAATTTTATATTGTCAGCTCTTATTCGTTTTATCCTGACATTTTTACATTTAACGCCGATCCCAAAGGATTATTGTTGTATTTATATAAATTTGATGTGATACGAAATAAATGTCGAATGAAATAAAAGTTATAAACCTCATTATTTTGCAAAATATACTGTTCGTTTGCAAACGTTTGATTTTTACTTTACTTGCACAAGGAAAGGATTCACTAACCGGGATATCGACTTTATATGTAATTTGCAGTGGGTTTTCGAAATATATACTCATTTAGAAAAATTTACGCTAATATGATATGATCTCATTACAAAATCTCGATTAAAGGATTCGCATTATCATCTCAAAGCGGAATAAATATTTCGGAGTTATACACGTAATTGGTAAATTATTTTTTTCCATTCTAACGTCTCCAGGTGCTTTCATCATGTACAAGTCTTATTATTCGTGTCTAACGCTAAGTCTAATTATTCATCGTATGATGGTAGGTTTGGTCCTCTTATAATCAAAATTTTACACCAACCTTTCCTCAGTACTAGTTTATTACTATAATACTTACAAAATGATGAATGAAAGTAAGTCTAATTTGCAGATATGTTAATTATTTTTTAAAAGAAAGGTAAAATCCGAGTATGCGGATAACCTTTCCAGGTCAAGATAATTTTTTTATTACTACATTTAAGTATAATACAAATGATTCCGGAATATAATAATCTCACGTGACTTCGTGACGCGCATTTAAAATAATGCTTGTATTTTAATACAATAGAATCTATCATAATTTTAAAACATTTTCAAATAAATTTGTAAAAAACAACATTGCTTTCATAAATATTCAAATAGAATTCAAACCATATAGGCAATTTTGATAAACCTGATTTTTTTTTTTTAACATATTTAAAAATAATAATTAATATTTTAAGTTATAAAGTAAATATATTAATTGTCTTAAAGCACTTTGTTATTTTCGTAAAAAACAAATATAAATTAGCCTTCTAATTTGTTTCCAAAGACTCTCTTATGTTTTGCTGCTTCAATTGCTTGAAGTGTCATTACATATTTCCAACCTCGTGAAAAGAATCCAATTTGTAATAGTAGATTCCTTTGGTATATCTTCCTCTTGTATCTCTCCCTCTTGCGCTCGTTGCATCATTCACTTCGCACTCTGGAGCAGTCATTTCTTTCTTGGATCAGCAGTTCCTGTATAAAACATCGTCTCAAGAAGTTGCTTGGCTTGATATGTAAAGGGATTCGTTTCACTGGTTCTCTAATTTTTTGGTTTTGTTGTAACGCCCAACCAGAAATAAAAATTTCCTAACTAAACAATAATAATTGCTGGTGAGTTTGTTTATAAATGATATTCAATTTCACCCTATTAGATTGACATTCCTTCAGAAGACAATATGGATTTGGACGATGAACAATTTACTGCGCCTGAAAATGATTCAGAATTCGTAAATAAATAATTCTTCAGCAAGGATTGTCGAACTTTGTGAGATAGAAAAGTGGATAAAAGTAACCCGATAAACAAATCTCGATATGTTGTCGGAATGCTCAATGATTTTAGTACACTTATAAGTTATAACGGGAGATAGATAAGGTGGACATCATCAACGTTTTACACAGTGGTTCCTGGATCTCTCACATTTTTACTTACCTCCTTAGAATGTGTCACCTCCGGCGTCAGTTTCTCCTCTATAATACTCGGGTTAGACCGATCAACAATAATAGCGAAAAAGAGTGGTATTGTGGTTATATTATTGTCTATAAATTCGTTTTCAATATTACATAAGATAGCTATAATAATCATGTAGCATGTAATTATGTAATAACAAAACAAATTTCATCGTTGCCAAGTGTTCAAAGCCCACGCACAAAACCAGGATCATCAGCCCTCCCTCCAGAAAATAATATCAAACGGCAAGATGAACTATGTACGCACATTAGAAAAGGTTCTTTCAGCGTAGCAGTTCCCTCTTCATTATCTACCGCAATATAATACTTAGTACAACTAGATCACGCATATATGCTTAATATGAATGACAATAAGATATCAACACTGCTTATAGACCTGGTGCCGACTCCCATTCTTCGTAAACTTATCGTCTCGATCAATACTTCTTTGAAAGTGCACACTGCGACCATATGTCTCGTTCGACCTCAGCTTCTCAGGAGAAGTCAATACTTCTCATCAAAAATTTTCATTTTCAGGGATGACTTCTTCATAGCATTAAAACTATATAATCTTGATTTTTTAGAGTTGTTCCCTTATAATATAAATTATTAAGTAGAAAAAAATACAATATAAATATCAAAAATATAATACTATATAATACTTACTAGTTTATTTAGTGTATGCTATTTATTAAGGAATTAACTCCTATTTTGAGATTTAAAGGTCCAATATTAACGCTTTGTAGAACCTTTCTTAGTCTTAGTATTAGGCTATTAGCTACAGAATTTTTTCAATGTCATTCAATATTTTTAAAATATACTCTTCTTCTAAAATGATTTTTAGAATGAATTGACCATATTTATCCAAATTCTTCTCTGGATCATCAGATTATATAACATTTTTGATTTCTTTATAAATTTCATTTGGTTCTAAACGTTCAAGTTCTGCATTATATATATATTATATATATGCTGACTTAATTTCATGATTAAATTTTCATTTTGTGAATTTTCGACAGATATTCTTAAATATGTTCATTAACAAATAATTAAACTTTTTCTCATCCAATCTTTTATTCAATTCCAAGTTATACCCATTAGCTTTAACATTAATTCAATTAATTCGCTATGTTCTTTTATTAGTATTCCTAGTTCCCATGCATTAAATCATTTAATATCAACTGTTATAATGTCTCATCTTTACGTTAAGTTCTTTTGGATAAGAATTTAATAAGACTTTTGGTATGACGAGTCTCCAACAATCTAACTATATTTTTGTACGTTGCTTTATTTTTTATGATTAACTACTAAATATTTCTTTGATTCAGAATTGATCTACAAATGGCAAAGATATCGATCGTTGTGTGTGGTATAATAATGATAATTGTTCCTTTTTTTTTGAAATTGAAAAATTTTTCATTGTCCGGAACAAATTGAATGATAATATAAAGTTCACGCCGTACACGTCATATCAAATCCCATGAGATCAAACTATAAATTACTAATTTTCATTCGCTCAATTTCTAAAATTGACCATCTTGTGAAACAAAATTTATGTTAAATTCGTCTCGTTCCACAAGTTTATGGATTGCGGTTATAATCTAAGTAAATTTTTTATATGATTAATTATTCAACATTAATCGTTGTCTCGATCTGTAAAAATAGTTTCTATAACTAAATACGTTTATTAAACTAAATATATTTTTAATTACCGTAATAATTAAATATGTTGACGAAGGAAATTTAAGGTTTAAAAAAGCAAATTTAGTACATTACGAGTTATAACAGGTAGCAAAATTTAATTATTTGTTATTTAATGGCTTGGTTAATAATGGTTATTAACTATTTTAACATCTTGGTTAAGCTAATGACGGTATATTGAATAATGAAGCAAGTGACAGAAGTTGTATCAACATCAGAGAATATAATATTCTTTATATATCTTTACAACCAGAGCACAAACACCAAGCGTGATATGAGACCTTAAATTTATAGTTTTGTATTGTCTCAGAATAGAAGAAAATTTCAAGTAGAGATCAAAGTGAGACTATCGCGAAAATGCTTAATGATCTAATTATTTATTGCGTTTCTAACGGGCTTTTAGGTTGAAACATGGAGTAATTTTAACTGGGTGTAATATACAACCAAATATACAAGGAGCTATCGTTAAAGATGCTGAATTATACAGGGAACAACCTTAATGATGATAACATTTCAAAACCATTTTATATTTCCTTTTGCAAAAATCTACAATTAGAAATTTTTGATCAAAAAACAAGAATTATATGTTAAAAAAAACCTTAATATAATATTGTCCAGAGAAAATAGATTTTTTACTTACTCCGTCAGCTAAATAGAACGTTAAACGGGAAAATTATATATTTATTACTTTAAAATGTAAGAAACGAAACACGCCAAATTTGGATCAATAAGGGTTTTGTTGAAAAAATCGGAAAGGTTCCTTCAATATGTTTTAGAATGGATTGAAATATCCTCACCTCAAGAACCAATAATTTTCAAAGAAAGTTCTACATTCACGTCCTCCTCGACCAGGGCCGAAGCTATGGCAATACGTTACATCATCAAGAAAATTTTGTAAGAATGTGCAGTCACGAAATAAACATAGTTAATCATAAGCTAAACTTATTTATTTATTTATTTGTAGCGATATCTATTGGTTATTATATTCAAAATTTCGGATTGTGAATTAAAAATAGATGAATCAGTCATGAGGAAGTATTCTAAAAATTTGTTTACGTGACATTATATTGCACGTCGGAGATGTCATAGAAATGTTAGCAGGTATGAACTTTTTTTATAAGATTTTTTCGTGCAAATAAAGTATTAACAATAATAAACTTTGTAAATTAAATTATAATGCAGTTTATTTTTGAACGTTATTAAAAATTGGGAATCTTATCTTTTAAAGTTAATACATAAGATCTTGCAGTTACCGACTTTAAAGAGCGATCAAAATATTGAATTATGGTAAGTTTAGAAATATTGATTAACTTTTATATATTTATTTAAGCTAAAATGCTAAATTATCTTTTAATTATATAGATGTGAAAACTACTTAGTTCTTCGCGCAATGTACCGAGAGACAACAGCACAAACGATGGCACCTGATTCAAATTAGCTTCTGAATACGATAATCATGCTCGTTATCTGAGGTCCCGGTATCGTATCATTCTTGAATGACGCCTTTTATGGCAGTATTATAAAGCTGCTTTTAAATTATCTTTTGCATGACAAAGAAATGGTTAACCTACTTAGATTATGACTGATCGATCTTTCTTACTGAATAGGCTAGTGCTTTCTATTCGTTCTTATTCCTGAACAAAGAGAAAAGGGGGAATCAGAAAGTTATTATAATTTTCAGTTTTTTGAGGTATGTAGAATTGGACGATTATTGCTTACTAAGGTTTAGTAATTTATAATTTTTTTATAACGTTTACGCGTAGGTTGAGCAATTACTGAAAAGTTCGAAAGTGCTAAAGTCGTCAATTCCTGAATTGAATTGGAGACTTCTTATATTATTTAAAATTAACGTCATTTTAATATTTTGATAATAGATATTTTCTTTATTTTCTTTATGTTTTTACGCGCTTACTTTTGTTTATGAAGCACATGTAATAATTTTTTTGAATTGTTAAATTTTTGTTTGTTTTGCATAAATAAAATTTTAATAATTTTCACCACCTAAATAAGTAATTTGGCCAGAATTATGTTAATGATCTACACATATATTAAAAGCAATTTGGTTGATACCGCGTGTTAGCATACATTTCTTTTTTTTATGTGAACTGAAATTTAAACGGTATTATGTTCTCCGGAGAGTTAAATTTTAGTGCAGAGTATAAATGCGAGTAGCATAAGCTGATTATTAAGCTCTAGTGATAATTTGTCAGCTCGAATACTATAACATTCTGGTAATTCAGAGCCTAGTTATGGTCTACCACTACAACGAAAGGTCGCGTTTAAGCAGCACACTAAAATGAGACAAGTAATTCTCAACAATAAAATACAGAATATTATGTTCGCGTCTATTAAAGTATGCTATATTTATTATTGAATCATTCAGGAAAAAAGACGAAATATATTTAAATTATTTTGTACATATTCTATCGAGAATTAACTAAGAGAAATCTAAACAAAGATGCCAATACGATTCGAAAAATAATTTAGATCGTGGAAGCAGGAGGTGAGATATAAGTATTATTTTAAACATGAATATTCATAGTAGAAGAACCCTACATATTTTAGTTTTTTTTCTGACTTTCTAGGATGGATATATATTCTAGTGAAAGTGAAAAATTCGTGATCATAGTATATTTTAGATTATAAATTAGTGGATCGATTTTTTATTGATTACATACCTAACAATTTTTTTTAATAATTAATTTTTATAGGCTATTTTTTCAGCGGTAAATAAATATGTAGCTTACGGACCAAATGTTATTACCAAGGGACTGAGAGAATTTGTAAATTGCTCTCTTATTCTTCCTATCATTCTTTCTACGGGAAAAATAATCCTACACGAGTACACGTTATTAAATCATATCAAATCATGAAAATGATCCTCCATCCATCCTTTGTCAATGAAGTTGAACCAAAGCCCGCTGATTGTTCTCTATTCAAAGAAGACATTGAAGTAAGTTTTAATACAAATATAACCTGATCCTAAAAATATTTTATTTTCTAGAACATGTACATACTGTATGTCTGTACTATAAGTCTATAATCGTTTCCCCTCTATTTTAATAAATATCTCAATTTTTAATAAGATCCTTTTATATTTAATATCTAACGCGAATGAAAATAAGAGTGAGGTATAATGAAAGCGCGTTATATAACTTACGTTAGGATTTCTATTACTATCTATCAAATTGTTGCAAGACAGAACTTAGAAGTTCGACTTATAGTTGATGGTTCATTCACAAAATAAGAGAAAGCTACGAGAGTCGATATGGATTATTTATTCATTTATTAGTTAATGCATAATAGAGTGAATTCAGCTTAATATTACAAGGATAGAATGAATACTCAAATAGTCAATAATTAAAAAAAAATTATAAATAAAAACCAAATTATTATTATAATGATTGGGTATGGATCTCCACAATATAATGGATTTTCATCACGTGACATTTAACCAATTAATAATGAAAAAAAAATGCCAAGTGCGAATTTCTTTCCTAATGTTTACTTAAGATTTGTAGCTTCTGATTGAGAACATTCGTTTACAGATAGATAAAGTGAATATTCGAATACAGAATCTTGTCGAATACCATATTATTTGATTCAAATACATTCTGCATGTATGCTGCATGCATTTCGGCGGTGATTGCTAAAATCACGAGATTCGAACCTTCGAAGTTCTAATTAAGAAAAACTCCACTCTCAAATAGTTCAAGGATTCCGAACTATTAGATAATCATTTATCAGTATTCCAAAAAAAGCCAATGATTGCTTTAGAATGAATATCTAAAATTAGAGGAATAAACAATAATTTCCAAATTAAGCTTCATAGTGATTATGTTTTTCAAAGTAAACGGAATCGAGTAACATTATAAATGCTTTAATAAATGCATACACTTTATGGGCCCTCAAACATTTGCGCACCCGTAAACATATGCGCATGATTTTTTGTATGCTCAAATTTTGTGAATCAGGCACTACTTTTAAAGTAATCGCGTGTTCGATACATTTTCTTTTTTTAAATCATGGGCTAGACCGAGTTTTTTTTCATTACATAATTACATAGTGAAACAAAGGTCAAGATGACAAAAAAAATACACGGATGATCGGCATTCATATTAGGAAAGTTCCAGACCAGCCTTCTTGAGCGATCTGGGGGTACAAACGTTTATATAGGTCCATCAAGAATATTTATCATACAAAATATTAAGATCCGTACTTTTGCTTCAATAGTATTCCTTTTTTGATAGTTACGCCGGAAATTTAATTCCCAGGCGCGTGACCAATTTTGTTTATTTTTATGTTTTTAAGATAAGGATTTGTTATTATTGTGAGTATGTCGGCTTAAAATTTGACCCACGTTACAAATTTTAATAATTGCATGATCATCTTAAAATCATTTTAATGTAAGAGAAAATACATAAAAAAATGGACGAAAAAATTAAATTTTCTTTTTTTTTTTTTTTAAAAAAAAAAAAAAAAAAAAAAAACTTTTTTGGAAATATCATACCGCCAATTAAGGTTTACAAAGTTCTATTTTAAAAGGATTAAATCCGGATGATTGTTTATCCGATGTCCGTAAAGAACTTGAAAGTAGTAATACTATTAATGATATGTTAATATTTTCAAAAAAAATAGGTGAAGAATTTATTGAAGTGGAACGTGAAGATGAAGAAAATTTTTTATTAAAAGAAATTATAACAGATGATAAAATTTTATATTTAAATCGGATTGATTGGAAATTATTGAGTAATCAACATAAACTAGATTATGGATGTATTATGAGTTATGATGGAATTAAGAAAGCTAATAAAAGGGCATTTACGATGAAAGATTGTGAACTGACCGAAATTAAGGGTAAAGGATATAAAAAAGATAAACTCGAATTCAAATCAAAAGAAGATTGGATTAAGAAAACTAATTTATTTTTTAGTAATGATAATAACGTACAAAATTTTGTAAAATTGGAAGAAAGTTCAGATAAAAAAATTTTTGATGATGAAATTAAGTCAAGTTATCAATATACGGAACTTGGAAAAGTATCACTGAAATTCAATAAGACGAATTTAGAATTAACTAACGAATTTGAAAATGATGTGAAAGATGCTATAAATTCTATAAATCCTGGAGAAAGATTTAAGAAAATTACCGGAGATTATGGACAATTTATTCCAACTGAAGTTATTCTGGGAGGAAGAGTTTATTTAAATGGTTCAGTTTGCACGAGATTACTTGGAGGGATTCATCCTGATGATAAAAAAGAACTTGATGAGAAACAGGACAAAGAATTTGACGAAAAACAGGATATAGAATTTGATGAAAAACAGGATATAGAATTTGACGAAAAACAGAGTATAAAATTTGATGAAAACCAGAATAAAGAATTTGATGAAAAAACTTGGATTAAATCTTTAAACAATCATCAAAACTGGGAGTGTATAGAATTGAAAAATCCAATTAATATTTTTCAACTTTTACCTGATGATCTGTGTAAAAGAGCATATGAATCTATCGGGAAAAAAATTCTTTATACAAGAATCAAAGATTTTGATTATAATTTATATGAACCTGGAATGTATGGAACATTTGAATTAAATAATGATATTTCACAAAATATCTTAGAAATAATTCAAAATGAAGAAGCTGATTATGACATCTTTGCAACAGTCGTTAATACCGCTAAAGATTTAAAAAAAGTATTTTTTAATTGTCAAATTCTCAAAAAACAAAAAGCAAAACCAAGTATAATTATTCATGGTATACAAAAAAAATTTCGTCCACGTACATATAAATTGAAAATTGCTTATATGATTGTCGGTTATGATACACATTTCAATTTTCTGCTTTCAGATATTACTAGTGTAGAATTAATAAAAAAAGAATATAAATCAAAAAAAATTCAATGTGAATTTGATAATATAAAACTACAACGAGAACTTGGCTCAATGATGGCAAGTGGAATTCCTTTTTTTGGAATTCCTGTACTAAGTAATTTTGATTCTTCAAATAATTCTATTGTTATCGGACATAATTTTTCAAGTAATCAAACAATAGATATATTTTCTTATAATGTAAAAAATAATTGTTATAGTAAATTACCTAGTTTTACTTTTTATATACTCATTATTTCGGACTATCCTACTTCAGATACTTACACATCACTTCCTTTTAATTATAAAATGTTAAAAAGTCCATTTATTCCTTTACAATCTTCACGACCTATTATTCCAAAATATATTAGTTTATATCTATCAAAAAACGACAATGATAATTATAAACCAATTTTTTTGAAACAAAAAAACAGGCAAATTAAGATAAAATATGTCGTTTGTAAATGTAAACAAACTTGTTACATTTGTCAGAACAAAACATTAAAAATATCAAAAAGTGAAAAGAATATTGATTGTATATTATTTGATCCGCCCGCAAGGTAATTAAATTTTATTTATTTTCTATATTCAAGATTATAATTACTAAATTAAATAATTTTTCATTATTAGTAAATTCATGAATGTCATGTAATTTGTAAATTATAATACTAAGACTTATATTTTTAACTGTTTCACGAGTTTATGAACGTAATTTCAGTTCACCTTATTAAAAATATTTATTAATAAAGAATTAATAAATTATTCATAAATTATACAAATTATTATTTGCGTGATTTTTTAAAATTTGACAATCGTTTAAAAATTAAACGCATTATATCGTCGCTACTATATAGTTAGATACTGACGTCCTTGGACGATTCAACAATAAAAAAAAAAGTCGAGCGTAAAAATTTTTACGATGATCTCTGATCTTTTTTGAACAGTCGATCCGATTTTATAACTGTAGGGATGGCAAAAAACCATGTTTTACAACAATTTTGGCGTTTTAAAACATTAAGAACTTTACTCTTTACTACGTAATACATATTTGCAATAAAAATTTTAGCATTTTATTATAATATATACTAATTTTAAATCCTCTGGAAGACTTTTACATTTCATCAATGATCTTTTAATCGATCAATTAAATCAATAATGTCATTTCCACAATAATTACTCCAAATTAAATACTAAATTTTCTTTTACTTTTAACGAGGTGTTTTTCGACCACGTCCATCAACTTCTGTAACTTTTCAAAGTGCTTACAGACGTCTTCTGATGATGGTCTTCCACGAAAAATAATTTTAATACGCAATAATCATGCCGATCACAAAAAAAACGGTTTAAAACAATAAAAACCTGATTTAAATTGTTTAAAACATCTTGTTTTAAATCACGTGCCATCCTAAATTTATAAGTAAAATCCCACACTTTACATAGTAAATTACATATCTGAATGAATTACCCCAAATTATAATTATGGCGTCCGCCCAAAATAATTTGGGTATACGAAAAAAAAAAATTAAGGAGTTATCGTGAAACCATACCGATTATTAATTCATAATTCGAAAACACATTGGTTAATCTGTAGTACCAACTTTTGTAAACAAAAATTAACACCGGTACGCCTAATACCATATCTTTGAACATTCACCGTGTGTCACATAAATTTAACATTTCATATAATATTACTATATTAAGAAATAAATGAATGTACGATAAATTGCTATTTATAAATTGTAACGCGTTTGCGTCTGCTTTTTGTTTTTTTCTGCGTATATCATGAATTTTTAATAAAGTAATTATTGTAACAAAGCATAAACAATCCAATTTTGGGTAACATTTGTTTTTAAAAGCAAGGTGCTACGGGTTCAGATTTTCTGGGGCGTATGCTAACGTAATATAAAAGCATAAAATTTATCTTATTTCTTAAAAATAAAAACTTTAAAAACAAAATCTTTATCCTAAAATGTCCGATAAAGTAAGTGTATCCGTTAATATATTAGAATCAGGGTCAGACAAAGTCATAAAAAAATCATTAAAGAAATTAAAACAAGATGATAATTTATCTAAGATTCGTAAAGTACTTTCTTGCGATGATAAATTATTATTTTTGAAAAATGGTTCTCCAGTTGATATCGAAGATGAAAAAAAATTTTCATTAAAAGAAATTTTAACAATTGATGCACGGAAGAATAATTCAATATATCTAAAGAAGCAAATTTTTTGGGATGTTTTGAATGAAAATCATAAATTAGATCATGGACGTATCATTAGTAATGTAGGAACTAAGTCGGCTAATAACAGGGCATTTATATTGGAGGGTTTTAAAGAGCTAAAAGAAATTGATAAACGTGGAAAAGGAACAATTGAAATTCGTTCAAATGAGGAGTTTATAAAGAACAAAAATTTATTGTTTAATATTGACATTAGTATAAATAATCTTATAAAATTAGGATTGTCAAGAGAGACCGCACAAGAGAAAATTCTTAGAGATGGAAACAATTTATCTTATAATTATACAGAAGTCGTTAAGGCATCATTAAAATTAAATAGAGATGACTTAAAACCAACTGATGAAATTATTAAAGCGATAAATGGTGCTATAAAATCCAAAGATATAAAGAAATTTATTGACGATTATGGACTATTTATTCCAACTGAAATTACTATGGGAGGAAGATTTTATACTAATGAAACTTTAACATCAACGAAAAAGTCTAATAATAATACTAAAACTACAGGTGTAAATGCAGGTTTGAATGCAAACGTTATGTCTTTAAGTTTTCAAAATAAAACAACTAATGGTATATCAAAAGATAAATCGACCTTTCATAAGGTAAATAATACGATAATACTTGGAGGAAATTGTGATGGTGACGTTTTTAATGAAAAAAAGTGGACGGAATCTTTAAAAGATTATCGAAATTGGGAGTGTATAGAATTTAACACTCCTATCAGTATTTTTCAACTTATACCTGGCGACTTACGCAAAAAAGTATATAAATTTATCGGAAAGAAAATTCTTTATACAGGAACTTTAGATTGTAAATATCATTCTAATCAAGCTGGAATATACCGAAAGTTTGAATTATTAAAAAGCGATAACATCCCGGAAAACATTTTAAACATTATTCAAAATGAAGAAGCTGACTGTGATTTTTTTGCAACAGCCGTTGATATTAATCAAGATTCAAAAAATGTTTTTTTTACCTGTCAAATTCTTAAACAAAAAGCAGAAGATGGGAAAAAAATAATACCGAGTATTATTATTCATGCTATTCAAAAAGAATTTCAACCATGTGAATATAATTTGAAAATTGTTTTGATGGTTGTCGGTTATGATATAGAATTTGATTATATATCAGCAGACAACTGTATTGAAGTAGTAAAAGGACAGTATTCGCAAAATACACAAAATATACAAAATAAAATGCTTCATAGTTTAACATTAGAAACTACAAATCACCTAATGGGAACAAATTATCCTTTTTTTGGAATTTCTATATTAAATAATTTGAATGATCCAAATGATTCGCTTATAATTGGACATAATTTTTATGAAATTCAATCAAACCATGAACTAAAAATCGACTTATTTTCTTATTGTTCAAAAAAAAATCGCTATTTAAAATTACCCAATTTTACGTTTTGTGCACTCATTATTTTAGAACCTAACACTTATACATCACTTCCTTTTGAGTTTAGAATGTTTAAAAAACCATTTATTAGTCTTAGTTCACAGAATAAAAACCCAAAATACGTTAGCTTTTTACGTAAAACAAACGATCATCGTCCAATTTTTCTGAATCAAAAAATCAAGCAAATTAACATTAAATATGTTAGATGTAGATGTAAACGCAAAGAAGTTGGTTGTATTTGCGGAAAAACTAGAAAAATATCAAAAAAGGACATACATAATTGTATAGTCTTTGACCCATACAAATCAAGGTAATTCTGAATTAATTAATGCTCTACCTGATTGGTTCTTATTTTTGAAAATAATAATTATTTTTTTTTTTTAGAAAGTATTTTTACGACGCTTTATGAACAATCAGAATTTACTTAAAGGACAAAAAAATTTGATAAATTTCTACTATTTTAAAAATTTTTAAATTCAGATTAACCATTGAGTTCATCTTTTAATTAGATGACTTACACGTTTCGATTTTTTATTTCATATAATCATATCTATCAGACATATTATTATGTTAATACACGTAATAAACGAATTTTTATCGGTTATTCGGTATACTTTTTTTCTCTATTCATATATTATTTTATTCTTTTATCATTCTCTTAATTTTTTATGTAATACCATAGCGCGTTACAAAATAAAGTTTTAATCACTATTAAAAATTCAAATCAACTTCTTTAAACTTAGGCGATTCTTTGATCTTTCCTTAGACTAGGGATGAGAAAGGTTCATCACATCATGTTAATATTAGGTTTGAACGCAGTCACGTGCATACTGCGGTTTTTCATTTACAATTGGCTGTCTATAATCGAGTAGAACTAGAACGACATCAATTATGTCAAAACCATTCACAAGTGAACAATATACACTTTTCTTTAATTTTAATCATGATTCACCTAATAATTTTTCCTCGAACTGAAAGTTGCCGGATCTTTTTTTTTTTTTTATGCATATAACGCTAGTATTATGCATCTATTAACTTTAAGGTTATCACGCGTAAGGTTTAGGTTGTCTAATATTATTGCGGCAGATTTATGAAATTGGCAAAAAACCCTGCTGCGCCCTCGGGGAAAAATTGACTTACGGAGGCATGTGATAATTGTGATATCGATTAAACTTTCTAAAAAATGTCAAATAATGACGCGCCTTTAACACTGGAAAAATTGGTTAGATAGTGGGAAAATTGGTTAGGTGTAAGTTTTGTGGCACAAAAAATTTTTTGGGACTCATTGTGACTGTTCACTAACAAATTCGAGGACTTAAATAAAATTTTTGTCTAATATACTGTCAAATATTTATTTAATTTAACATGACGGACAAATTTTGGGGTATTTCATAAATCCGTCGTGATGTAAGTTGACGTTAACTATTCCTTTAATTTGTTAAATTGAATCCCCGATAGTGATTGTTATACGAATCACTAATTACAGCTGATTTGATTTCATAATGTACGGGACACTTAACAAATTTTAAAGAGATCGGAAGTATTCGGTAAAACTTGATATAAAATAAAAATTATACGCCAATTTTGGAGTACTATTCCGAGAATGGTGGTTTAATTTTATCCTATTGTGAGCTTTACCGAATATTTCCGAGTTCTTTAAAATTTGCTAAATGCTAAGTGTCCCGTACATTATAAAATCAGCTGTAATAGATAAGCGCGTATCAAGAATTTTTAATATTTTTTGATCATTTTTATCAATTCCATAATTTTGTCGTGTGTTTTTTCACAAGTTTCACAAATTAAACTATAAACATTACTTAATATGTACATATTATATAAATAAGGAGTTTGATTTTACGCCATCAAGTTGGTTACTCATTTAACTCCTTAACTCCGTTACTTAACTCCGTTACAATAACATTTCCTCAATAAACATTAAAGTAAATAAACAAATTGTGAGCTAATATGGTTACACATTAATTTAAAATTAAATATTTATTTTCAGCTTTTTTTGATCTTTGATAAAACGTCTCATGTCGATCCAAATATAAAAAAAGTAATAAATATGATACTTTGAGAATTGCTTAATCTAAATTTATAAATCACTATTAAAATTCTTTTTATTTTATTATATAATATATATGATAAAAGTTTATCCGATCTTAAAAAATGTCCGATCAATCATCGAAAATTACTGCGGCAATAAATTCATTAACGAATCAACAAATTATTAGGAAATTTAAGTTGAATCATGGATTAATTTTAACTGGATATAATATACGCTCAAGTATACAAGCTGTTGTTATCGAAGAAGATTACAAATTGAAAAAAGGTTTATATAAAGAACAGCCATTAGTATTCACGTATATTAATCCTGAAGTTAATGAAACACCGGATACGTGCATTAATTTTCCAGTTTTTGAAATTAATTATAATGGAAATTTGTTAAAATCATTTTTAGAATTTAGTGGTGATGAAAAAGAATTGCACGAATTATATGGTCAGTCTCTTGCAAGAAAATTTGTAGCTGGTGGCCAATTGTTTATTAAGGATTTTAATTCGGCTACTCAGGCACAACAAAGTGTTCTAAAATTTTATTTATTCTGTGTATATAATTCATTTAAATATTCTACCGAAATTCAATTCAGCAATTTATTTAAATTGAATCTTTTACCAAAGATAGAAACAATGGACGGGGAAAAGTTAGATACTCATGAAAAATTAGTTAATTGGATGAATAATTTGTATCTGAAATTGAATGTTTGTATAATTTTTTATGATAATCTCATCCCCATTTCTAAATTAAATAACACTACAATCAATGACCTGGAAACTTTTAACGATAAGAGATGGTCTGGATTCTCTAATTTTAAAGAGAATGAAAGTTTAGAAGAGTGGGTTGGAGATGCGATGAATGATAATCTAATGAGCTGGGCTAGTGATTTCAATCTTTTTCAAGGATTAATAATTAATAAAAATGACGAAATAGAAGTTAGCAAGAAAATTCCCGTTGATATCATTAAAATTCCTAAAGTCAATCCAACTAATACGTCTTATATGAAAAATATTAAGCCGTCAACAAAATTAGAGTTTGCTTTAATTTCAAATAATATTTTTTCAATTAATAACTTAAGTAATTTTCCATTTACTAATGATAGTCATAAGAGTTATGAAGGTTACAATCATGTTCTAGTCAAATGCGAGAAATATGAAATTCACTTAAATACGGATATTATAAAACCTACAAAAGAATTTGAGCAAGTTATAGAGAAAGCACTTAATAGTATGAAGCCATTAAAAGCTTTGCAAGACGTGTTTAACGAATATGGTCATTTATTTCCACGAAAAATTATATTAGGAATTCTTCTTAAAAATATTTCATCAAATATTTCTTCGTCTATTACGCTCGATGATGTTAATGATGTTAATAAAATACTTGAATCATTGGATAATTTAAATATTTCATACCTTTTAACACAAAAGGGAAGAGTTATCGAAAGAAATGATTTGACTAATTGGAATAATAATACAAATAATAATTTGGAAATTATTGAATTTAGCGATATCATTCCTCTTTACCAAATTCTCGATGAGAAAAAACGAAATAAAATAAATGAAATATTAGAAAAGTTCAATAACCATAATATCATAATGACAGGAATGACTAAATTGGAAGATTTAGATAATGAAAATATCGAGCATTATAAACGAATAGATTTAGGATCATCATTGGAAGATAAAGATTATGAAGTATTTGGATCAATCATTTCAGAAAATAATTCAAAATTTGAAAAATTAGGAGAAATATATGTTAATTTTGGATTATATGACTTCAATGGGTTTTATGCGATAATAAAAAAAGTTGAAGAAACAAGTATTAATATAGCTGAGTGTTATGTTTCATGGATTGTTATCGGCAAACCTTCCCAATTATCCGTTTTTAGTCCAAAAAATCGAGAATTACAGGCCAAATGTATTAAAGAATCTATTAAATTACAACCTAATAAGCGGAATTATACTATTGGAACTTCCTTCACTTTACATGAAGGATATACTGTTTTTGTGCATGCAAATCATTCACCAATAAATTGTGAGCCTAATAATATTATTAAGTTAGTTGAATGGAAAGAAAATTCTATTAATTTTCAAGTTGAATCAGCATATAAGCTTAAATCAGATACTAATGATGAAAGTTCGTCTGAGAGTGATTCTGATCATGAAAATAATAATTGTTCAGTAAATGAAGTAAATTTACGTATATGTATTCTATCTACAGATTATAAAAGTTTGAAAATCGATAATGACGAAGAAAGGGAATGTTCTTTAGATTTAATAGGATATATTTTAATTAAGGAAAATTTTAATGAAAATTTATTTAACGTGAATAAAAATGAAGTTTCCTTTAATATTCATGATAATAAATCTGTTACAAACCAACCACTTGATTTTCAACTCAAAGCGTTAAAATCAAATGAAGGTATTTTAAGTAATCTTTTTTTTTATTTTATTTCTTATCAGTGTGTATTAACTAAATATTTTTCTTTTCAAAAAAAAATAAGAGATGATTAATATAGAAACGAGGAGTCGACTATCCGATCGTATATCCATTGAGAACGTAAGTTAAAAAATCTTTTATATAACATACCTAAAAGTATAAAATTTCTAATTACGATATGTAATAATAGAGCGGAAGTCCTTCCAAGAATGATATTGCATTTAGTAATTTAAAAAATGAGAGTTTTATTGAATACAAAATCAATAACCATGACCTTCTTAAATTAGAAGAGGATGGATTTATCACGCCAGATGAAAAAGCAGGAGAGCTTATTAAGGAGTTGACCAAAACAAAATGTTTATATGCTTTAAAGTTACTTTTTGAAGATCCACTTAATAAATTTTCTCCTGATGTCCTTCGAAATTCTTTGATTGCGTTGGCGGATCCAACGTCTTTTAATTATATTGAAAAGGAGACGATGGTTAGATTAGAGCTACATATGCGTACTTGGGCAGCAGTATTAGAACAAATTTGTTTTTCGCTTATGCACCTGAATAAAGAACTTCGTGATAAAGTTTACAATTCTTTAACAAAATTTGCAGAGATTCATAGAAAAATTCAAGTATTACAAAAAGAATCTGAAAATAATTATGGATCTGATTTCAACCAATTCCAGCATGATAGTAATCGAAATTATAATATTGACTTCTTAATAATTCATTTGCGGGATACGTTGCATAGTTTGCATGATGATGAGACTTGGTTTCATGAAATTTTAAGAAGAACAAAAAGCTTGCTTAAGACTATGCTGAATATTTCACCAGGAAAAGCGCTCACAAATGACAGTTTTTCAAGCTTATCATCATTAACTCAATTACGTCAGAGCTTAAGTTTCAAGTATCCGGTAGCATCCTATTATGTAGATTGGCGAATTATGTTAGTAATTCATCGTAACCTTTTCACCTGGTCTGAAAGTTCTGAAATGATAATTAGTAAAAAATTTCGCGAATTAGTATTAATGGAATATTTTTGGAGCTTTTTAGAAAAGGAATGGATTAATGTTACAAATAAATCTATTTTGGATTCTCAAACCAAATTTGATGAAGTATCAAATAAGGTTACTAAATCTTTGAGGAATACTGGAAGTTTCTTAACTGTAAATGAGCCTATTACATTGCCACATACTTTGTGGTTTGGAATATTAGATCTTGCACAAAGTCTTATTCAAAAATCTACTCGAACATCCATATACGGACTTTGTTATTATTTGGCGATTGAATCACTTAACAAAGCTCCAAGCAATTTCATCCAGTTTAAAGCTATTGAAATATTGGTACATTTATATAATATTGATAATCAAATGTTTTCAATGATTGAAATTGATTTTGATAAATACACACAAAAATTAAATGAAAATAATTCAACAACTAATTCTTCAGAAAAATTTCAAAAATTATTAAAATTTGTTAAAGAAAAATACATTGAAGAATTTAAAATTTCAAATGATGATATTGAAATAAAAGGAAAAAGAAAAGAAAAGAATCTAAATCAGGAACAAGCACCAAACATTGATATTTTAAATGTTATAGCAGATGAAATTACTTGTCCAGTTAGTAATGAACCAACAGACCAATTATGTGTTTTAAAATGTCAACATTTATTATCATTAAATAATTTAAAAAAATTAAGACAAAAAATATGTCCAGAATGTCGAGAGAAAATTGATGATAATGATATCAGATATTTACCACAAACTTCTATTTATAAAAATTTGTATTCAAAATTTTCTGAATCTGGATATATTTTACCCACTAATGAATTAGAATTGGATAATCAATATGACAGTGATAATTCAGAAGTAAATTCTATATTAACTAAAAAAAAGAAATTTGTTAATGCAATTAAATTAAATTCACATGCATCATTATCATCACTACTTCCAAGATTTTCGAAAAAACAACATCCAACATATCAAAATATTATAAAAGAAATAGGTGAAAAGCATTATGAAAAAGCTGAATGTTTGTGTGAGGAATTTATAAATTTTTTTCCTAAAAGTTATTCTTTAAGATGCATTTTAGCCTATATTTATAGATGTCTTGGTAATTATGAACTAGCATGTTTATGTTTACAAGCGGCCATTAATTTGGAAGAAAAAAAACCAATTGCCTGGTATATTCGCGGTGAAATATATTTCAGAGAAAATAACTATAAAAATGCAATAGATGATTTAAATACTTCAATAAATTGTAAGGCAAAAATAAGTAATTTATATATAATACTTGGAAATAGTTACCTTTTTGAAGCGGAAAAAATGTTTCAGATTTATTATGATAATGCTTTAAAAAACTTTAATATTGCATTGCAAAGTAAACCAAATCAATGTTTGTGTCTTAGGAATTGTGCTTATATTTATGAAAAACAGGAAAATTATTTGTCTACCTTAGAAATGTTAGATAAATTGTTAAGTGTTGATGAGAATGATTCATTAATTTTATGCTATTATGGAGAAATTTTGAGTAAAATAGGGAGATATAATGACGCTATATTATATTTTACAAAATCAAATGTTATAGATCCAGAAAATATTCATAATTTGAATAAGAGAGCTATAGTATATTATGTTCTTCAAGAATATGATAAAGCTTTATTAGATCTTGATAAAGTTATACAATTGGACCCATTAAATAATTTAGCATACTATTATAAAGGGTTAGTACATTATGCAATAGAAAACGTTGATGATGCGATGTTGGCTTTTAAAAAATGCATAGAATTAGATTCTAATGATGATTTGGCAGAAGTTCAATTGAATTATTTAAAATATTTATCAAAGAATAATGGCTCTAAAGTAGATTATGATATTATTACAAAAATTAGTCAAATCTCTAATATTTATTATAATAAGTCATTATTATTTTTGAGATGTAAAATATATATTGAATTAGAAGAATATTTGAAGGCAAAATCAGATTTAGGAAGATTATTTATACTAAATGAGGAAGATATTTCATTTATTTGTTTGTTACGAAAATATTCCGATTTTTGGTCAGAATTATATATAAATTATAAAATAAATGAAAATGATTTTAAAGAATTTGGAATTGTTGATAAATTTAGTAAACTTTTATATAAGGGTAAGAATTATGTGAATTATGTTCTTTAATTAAATAATTTATTAAATACTAATTTATGGAAATTTTTCTTACAGTAATTAATCTTTATTTTATTTCAAACCTTACAAATTTGAATAATGGATTAAATTCTATTAAAGTAAGCGATTCAAATAGGTAAGATTAATTAGTTATATTTATATAAATTAATATTAAATTACTTGTTACGAAATTAATTTTGTTTAAAAATATCAGCTTGTCTGGACAAGTGTTTTGCTTTAAAGACGATGTATTTTATTTAAATTTGCCAAAGTTAACAAATGATTTCACGAAAGATTTTCATTATGTCGCTTGGAAAATAAATGTAAAAAAAATATTATCTCAAAATGCTTTTGTGAAATTTTCTATAACGGAAGGGAAAAAAGTGAGTTAAAGTAACTTTTAAGGATCCTTTCGGTTTATTTATTATACATTAATTATATTTTTATTATTTTCAACTTTAACTACAGGATTCAAATAAAGTTTATCCGACGAAAGAATATCTATTAAGATATAATGACTTGTCAAAATTTGAAGGATTAGGTTGGATCGAATATACGTTGCCAATTAAGGTTCATTGTAATCGATGGATTCAACTTTCAATTGAAGTTAATAAAGGTTCTATTGATATGGTATGTTTCTATTTGTTTGAATTATTATTATTATTATTTTTTTTTTACAATACAGTTAAACTAATTTTACTAATTTGTAAATTTTTTATTTTGAATTATAGCGAATAGATTATGTTAGATTTAAAAAATCTTTTGGAAAACAAATTTATTTTCCCAAAATGGGCCATTTTTTGCCAATTCATAAATTACTTCCAAACGTTCCAAAAGCTTTTAAGGATAATTATTTTTCAATGAAAGAAATGGAAAATTTGCTTTTATTAAAAGATATTATTGAATAACTACTGTATACTTATTTAGTTTTCTTTTTTTTTACATTTTTATAATAAAAGTCATTACTTATTTATTTATAAAATTTATTACTATCACGAATAGTTCTCAGCAAAGTTTTTAATTTGTAACAGATAAATTATAGTTATTGGATGGGGTAAATATCGGTCACTCCGTAGGGGTGATTGATATGTTACCCTTCCATTCAATAACTGTGTTATTATGCATGCCACCCAAGATCACAGTTTTTATACAAAAAGTCCAATTTTTTAAATAATAAACGTGTTATTTTATACATAACCGATATTTTTACCCACCCTTTTTACTGGCAAAAATAACGGTCTACCAAGATCGGCATGATCCTAATAGGAATAACTATTAGGTATATCGCGTCGAGACGACGAGATGTCGAGACGTTCGAGTATTGATAAATGATCGCTGGTGATTGTCACCTTACTACCAGAATTAGGGTAGAATTTTGGGCAAAATTATTTGCTAATACTGGTGCGGTGATGATCATCGCGTGGTAGTTTTTTGACATTCATTTTCTATTGCTTTATGTCCATTTTAAAAAATCATAAAACAGTATTTCAGTCGAAATTACGATTTTATATGCTAAAAAACTGAAGTCTTAGACGAGAAATTTTTTATGATATTTTCTAATTATCGAATTTAATCGAAAATTATTCGCATACAAGGAATATTAGAAATGTCAAGACATCGAATTAAAAATGGGAGTTAATATTGAAACGTGTTCTTTTTCGTGTAGCCTATCGTGCAATGAATTTTGCTGGTAACCTAATTTGGGAAATTGGAAACTTTGATGTTAGGATAAAAATTTTTTTAGATGTATATACGAGAAAATTCGTGGCTTCAGCCTTGTGAATAAATATTGCTATATGTAATGTAATAAAAATAATGTGAGAACAAAAGTATCAATAAAAAACTATTACTATACATTAATAAATGTTTTAGTAATAGCTTCAAATTATAACTTTTGTTCGAAATGTTTAAAATATATCATGCAGAGCTGTATATAGTACTGTAACTAGAGGTGCAGTTGGAACTCGATCACATTTGGATGGGCCGTATCATAACTGAGTTATGACCAGTTAATTCTTTACTTTAAGGTATGGCATATTGTAAGTTGTGACTGGTAAATAATGCGCCGTAACTGGTATATGTGTAAATAGGCACCATAACTTGTGTATATTTATTAAATTTTACCATGTCGTCTTTTCTTAGGTTGGTCTAATATAAACATTTTTGTTATAGTTTAGATTATCATTTTCAATCATTTAAAGTTCTTATTGAAAACTAAAAATTATTGTTCCATGAAATTTATAATCAAAGAACATCAGGAAATTTTTAACGATGACAACCACGTCGAGGCATTTGGTTCGGTTCCTAAGGTGAGTAAGAAATAAATATAATTAAATTAATATAATTTAATTAAATTATTTTTATAAATTATCCGATATCAATCTACGTGTGACGACCTTGAACTCTGTGAATCCACTCTACATGTTTTGTTATAGGGTATTCGGAAAATATTGGTTTCACTTGGAATTTCCATGATGGTTCCACGTAGAATTCTCTGCAGATTTTAAACGGCAAAAACTTTCTGATGAGGTTATTTAAAAATCAATATGAAAACTTTAATTTTAGATAACAAATTCGGAGAGATTTAAAAATTTATACTGTTAAGCTATTTATACTATTAAACTATTTAAACTATTTATACTCTACGGCGTTATTGGCCACAGTAAAAGTTACGGCATTAATAACATCAAACGGCACACTGGAATTCACATGGTTTTGTATGCTGGCCAATTCATTAAACCAGTTCCTGCATCACTAACTGTAACCCCTTAAAGTACCCGGTCAAAATCTGATATAAACAAAAATATATGATTAAAGTGCACAAAATTTAAAAATTTAGCAAATAGCAAATGAAAAAAATCAATCATGAAGATAATTACTATAGTCTCTGTCTAAGAATTCTCTTGCTAAATAACGGAAAATACTTTTACTTATTGTGCAATGTTATCATCTTGTACTGTTATGTTTTAAAAAATATATTTATAATTGGACAATTTTATTAAATGTTATTTTTCCTATTTTATACAAATGCATGGACTACATGAATAATTAGGCGAAATTTGCGAAATTTGCATTCTATATATTTAATTTTCTAACTTGTCATTTTTGGAACAAAGTCGTCATACAAATGATACGATAATAAAAGGAAAATAAGAAACATCAAAAAAAGGTTACCAGGTAAGTTATATAATATAGTACAACTAACTATATGATAATAAGGTAACAAGTAAATATAAATAAGAAATAAAATTAAAAGAACTCAATAGTGATATACAATACATTCGCCTCTTGATATTCCCAATGTTTTATCCTTACAAACAGAACAAGTTTTACCACAATTGCAATCAACATATTTTAATTTAATTTGATCAATTTTTTGTTTCAAAAAAAATGGTTTATAGTTATTAACTTTTGATAAATATGAACTAATATATTTTGGGTTTAAATGTGGGGTAAATTTATTTTTAAGATCAACGAATGGTTTCTTTTTCAATATACTAAATTTAAAAGGAAGTAATCTATAAGCATTAGAAATAGGATGATTTATAATGAATGTACAAAAATTAAATTTTGGCAAATTAACGTAGCAATTTTCTTTTGTACAATAAGAAAACATGTCAATTTTAAGTTCATTATTAACATTGCGAAAATTATATCCAATAATGAGGGACTTATTTAGATAATTCCAATCTTCAAACACCGGAATTCCAAAAAAAGGAATATTTTTTGTTATTAACTCATTTTTAGATAATTCCATACTACTAAATTTGCATTGATCTTGTGGATAACAATGCTTTTTAATTACCTCGATATTAGGAAGAATAAAATTTAAATTTGTATCATAACCAACAACCATTATCTTAACTTTCAATTTAAATTCATGTGATTTGAATTTTTTTTGAATACCATGAATTATAACTCTTGGTTTCACCAATTTCCCTTTTTCTGCTTTTGGTTTGAGAATTTGACAGCTAAAAAAAATATTCTTTGAATCTTCAGTATCAATAACTGCTGCAGATATATCACAATCAGCTTCTTTATTTTGAATAATATCTAAAATATTTCGTGGTAATTTTAATTCAAAATCCCGATACCTTCCAGGTTCATTTAAATAATAATCACAATCTTCAGTACTCGTATAAAGAATTCTTTTCCCCATAGACTTATAAGGTATTTTACATAAAGATTCTGGTACAAGCTTAAATATACTAATGGGATTTTTAAATTCTATGCAATCCCAGTTTTGATAATCATTTAAAGTTTTTATCCAATATTCTTCATCAAAATTTTCACTTTCAGGATGACTTCCTCCAAGTAATCTCATATAATTAAAGCTGTAAAACTTTGATTTTCCATTTGATTTACTAGAATTGACTCTTGCTTTTAAATTTAAAGGTCCAATATTCATACTTGTAGAACCTTCGTTAGACTTAGCTACAGAATTCTTTGATGACATTTTAACATCTTTAAAATAAACTCTTCCTCCTAAAATAACTTCGGTTGGAATGAATTGACCATATTCTTCAGTTATTTTCTTAAATTCTTCTTCCGAATTACCAGATTTTATGGCATTTTTTACTTCTTTAATGAATTCCTCTGTTGGTTCCAGATATTCTCGAAATGTTAATAACGTTTTTCCAACTTCTGTATATTTATATACTGATTGAATTTCGTCATTAAAATCTTCACTTTGTGAACTTTCAATTGATAATCCTAGCTCTACAAAATTCTGTATATTAACGTCGGTACTAAAAAATAAATTTGTTTTTTTCATCCAATCTTCTTTTGATTCAAATTCGAGTTTATCTTTTTTATACCCTTTAGCCTTAATTTCAGTTAATTCACAATCTTTCATTTTAAATGCTCTTTTATTAGCTTTCTTAATTCCATCAATACTCATAGTACATCCATAATCTAATTTACAATTATCATTAAAGATGTTCCAACACGGGCTTTTCGTTAAATATAAAATATGTTGTCCATTTTTGACTGTTATAATTTCTTTTAAACGATAAATTTTTTCATCTTTACGCTCTATTTTAGCGTACTCATCACTTAATTTTTTTGTAAATAATAATGAATTATTAATATCATCATCATTATTGCGAATATCAGATAAGAAATCTTCTAAATTTAATTTTTTTAAAATACTTTGTTGCGAGTCTTCTATGGTTTTAATAAATACAATTTCAAAAGACATTTTTTTTTAAAAAAAAAAAAAAAAAACGAGACGTTTTTTATAGCTTTTTACTGGTGCATGTGTAACTGTCATAACTGTTGTACAAGCTACGTATTACACCCATACAAAGCTATTACTTAATTTAGCTTGGTTTTAAATATGACGATCTGCCATATCCCAAATGCAATCCTTGCACATCATTCATTACAACAAATAATTTTTCTTTAATATGATACTATAACTAGGTCTACAGAATAAATGATTCTGCACAATGATTACTTCTTACTAGGTTATGCCTTACGCCCTTACGGTGTCTGGTCCGATGATCTTTCTGAGTCCAGTCCAGGGACGATGATTTTTTGTGATCACAGAATTTCACAGAAAATCACAAAATTTGGTTATAAAAATGTTGATAATTTTCAAGTTTTTGGCCTGATTTAGGATTTGAAATCATTATAATTCCGGCAGACACTAAATTTGACCAGAATTTACGAATAGTAATGTTGGCCAACCTTGCATAATTCTGGCCAAATCACAAAATTTCACAAAATTTATTTTTATCACACACAAAATTTACTTTATACCGCCGCAAAAAATCATCGTCCCTGGTCCAGTCACGTCAATTTTTAGCACAGTCATGTGAATTTGGGTCCAGTGATTCGCTTAAAATTACTTGATAGTATCTACACGATTTTTTTCTTTTTGCTGTTCGCTTTATAATCCCTATAAAAAAATTGGATACGTTTTTTATAAAGTTTTTATACGATTTTTTTCCTTAGAAATAACGTATCATAATAGGATACGGAAAAATGCACAATTCCGTATCACTAAAAATATGGTTTGGATACGGAATTTGCACGGAATTCATATGGAATTTACATGATTTGATCACTGATTTTATCACGAAATTTATACGATTTGGTCACTGAATTTACTATTTGTATTACAGTTTACTATAATTATATTTACATAAATCTAATTTTACTTTATTAAATTAAATAAAAATAAAAAATAAACAAAATACAAATACATTATGAAAATTCCCTCCTTATTAAAACCACCTATTGCAACCAAAATTATCTATAAGTTCAGGTTCATTTGGAGTCAAACAACCTAAAAAAAACAAAAAAAAGAAACATAAGAACGTCTAACTTAATTGGAAACAAAACCCCCCTTCATATAGTATTTGCAATCGTCCAAGTCACCAAAGGTCAGCATTCCTACAAAAAAAGAAAGAGAACTCCAGAATGTCTGACCTACATAAATGAAAGAATTATGAAGCATCTGATGAAAAAGAAACCAAAACAACAAAATAAATCCAAAACTGACCTACAAAAAAAGAAGACTCTGAAGCAACAAAACTGAAACAACCTACAAAAAGAAAAGAATCTGAACCCAACTTACAAAAAAAAAAAAAGAAAATTTGAACTGACCTAAAAAAAGAAAAAAATCCTGAACCAGCCTATAAAAGGAAAGGACTCCCAAACTGATCTACAAAAAGAAAAAAGAAACTGAATCTTCTCACAAAAAAAAATCTGCTGGCCTATGAAATAAAAAAAGGGAAAATATAAATAAAAAAGAAAGGGGAATAAAGAATAAATCAAAAAAAATATTTTTTTAAAAAGAGAGTAACGAAATTAGGAAAGTTAAAAAAAATTTTTTTTTTAAAGGCAGGGAGGACGTCAAAGTTAGAAAAATAAAAATTTTTTATAAAGAGGAAATAGAAATAGAAAGAAGAAAATTTTTTTTAAAAAAAAGAAGCCCTATAAAAAATTTTTTATGAAAGTATTCCGAATTTTATCTGGTTTTTGTATTCCGAAAATGTTCCGATTTTTACTATTATGATTCCATTCCGAAAAGTGATCATTTTTCGGAATAATACTTTAGGTTATTACCCGGAAACACTCAAATTATACTCAGTAAATTTATGAAATTTAAACGGAATATTATCAGATAATTTACACAGATATTATCCGAAAGTATTCAGTAAGTTTTATTGAATGCAATCAAGATACACTTCAATTATATTTGTAGGATATTATCTGAAAGTATTCATGAATGTGAACTATGTATTTTTCAATAATACATAAATAAATTGATACATTAATAATAGGACTCTCTATATTAATAAGATTCTCCATCATTATTTCTAGCTTTCTTACAAGTGTTGTGTGACCTTTGTTGTTTTGGTTATTTTTTCTGAATTTGCACGTTATTCATTCTAGCTGACCTTCTTTTCCTTTCTCGTAAAGGTAATTGGGCGTCATTAGTTTTTATTTTAGTAAGAACTATACTTGATGATCATTAAGAAATAGACATGAATGAAATAGCAATATCAGTATGTGGAAATGATTCAGAAATTGGAGTATTTTCGTCCATTTTTGGAGATATTGGTATATCAGGTGATGTTCTTAGAAATTGGAATAGGTAGTGATACCACTTTCTCGAGTTTTTTATTAGGTGGTGTGATATTTTTGCACTTAAGAGGTGGATTGATACCTTGGATAAAAGCTTCTTAGTTTTTTTTGAAAGGTTTCACTTAGAAAACATACTAGGTTTCGCTTATAGATCAAAAATAAGATGCCAAAACCTACAAAAGAAAATAGTAAACGTGTCATACTAACGTTTTTTATTAAAGTTTCAGACTTTTTTCAAAAACTTACCCAAGATTCAAAATCAAGATTTAACCAGATCTCTATAAAGTAGAAATAATGAAATGTTACAGTAATAAACATTTTTTTAAATTAGTTTTTGAAAGATTCCAAAAACTCACTATGATTCCAGTGCTTTGAAATCAGAAGTCGTCTAAAAAATAAAAAAACATGTTAGCAATCATTTTATTTTAAAATAGAATTAATTCAAAGGAAAAATATTCACTCATCAAATTTTCCTGCATGTCCAGATACTCCAAAGAACAAAAAAAAAAAATGAAATGTTCTTTGTTAAAATACTTTACTAATGCACACTCCAGAGACCAAAAGAGCCACTAAAAAAGAAATGAAATGAACTGTTAGTACCGTTTGTTAACATAGATGAATTATAAAAAGAATAGGAAAATAGCTCGCCAGATTCTTACGCATCCAAAAACCCTTCCTACCATTTAAAAGATTAATGATTCCACGCAAAATTTCCATATGTTCAAGGCTAGTCCATTAAAAAAAGAGAAAAAATGAAACATTAATAAGACATTTGTTAAATGAATAATTAAAAAGAAAAAAGACAAACTGCTATAAAGTTCGTTAAAATAAAATAAAAAAATTTTGAAAAACTTATCAAAATTTCGCGTTCAAGGAGACCGAAAAAATGGCTAAAAGTTTCGTTTAGGATTTTTTTTCAACAGAAAGTACGAGGTGGGAAAGGAGAAAGAAAGACAAAGAAAAGGAAATGGTAGGGAAAGGACAAAAAGAGGGAAGGACAAAGAAAGGACGAAGGGAAGGGAAAGAAAAATGAAGGAGAGTTTAAAAAGTTAAAAAAGTGTAAATTAATTGATTTAGGAGTCTAATTGCTGATCTTTACCGTTACTAATTGAGGTCAAATATGGGCCAAATTGTATTATTGAAATATATTGTAAATAAAAATATTTTAAATAATCGGGATATAATCGGAACATTTTCAATTTGAATACAAATTCGGAATATCTTCAAAATTTTTTCGGAGTATTTCCTAATACTTTTTACCATATCAAAACTTCTAAATTTTAACTTGAAATATAATCAGAATGTTATCAGTATAATCGGAGTATTTTCAACAAATTCGGAAAAAAATTGGAATGTATCCGACAAAAATTTTTTATAGGGAATGTATGGAAAGCTATATGTAGATGATAAGATTCATAATCGTCCAACCAATTATATATATTGCAGTGTATGTAACTCCTTAGTTTTCACACCTGCAAATAGTCTTTTTGAGGATCGCTATGGAGATAATCACTTGAAGAGATGTATTTCTGGAAATACTATTTCGAATGAACATGCAAGAAGAAATGAAATTCTCCAAACTATTGATAGAAGGGAATTTCAGATCTGGCAATATAAACAATACATATTACAAAAAGAGGCTAAAATTAATCGTCTTCAGCTAGAGCTTTCATCCCAATCT